CAAAAAAAATAAAAAAAAAAAAAAAAGAAAAGGGGCCTTTTGTTGGGGCTGTTAACTCTTGCTGGCTTCTGTCTCTTAATCTGAAGGGCCTGTTTACACCCAGAGGTGAGCAACAATTCTGTCACAAACAAAATTTAAAACTTAATGTAACAGAAGGCATTAGAGGCCCTGAGTTTTCAAAAGATCGTCCAGAGCCTGTGGTAAACTAATCCAAGGCAGAGTGGTTGGTCAAAGTCACAGTGCAGGATCTGGGAATGTAGCTCAGTGACAGAGCACTTGCTGAGCTATACAAATCAAGGCAATACATTTCCTTTTGCAGAAGAGAAAAGCAGGTGGTCTTAGTAGCACTAGACCAGATATTAGGATATCTAAGCCTGGTCTTGCCCCCTTTCTTTAACTCCCTGTGTGATTTCAAATAGCTGTTTTCTCTCTGGATCTCAATCTCCTCTTCTTTAATACAAAGGTGTTGGAATAAAGCAGTTTTCCATCTAGGATGCACCATACAATACACTCCAAGATTCCATATCAGATCTACTGAATCCAAAAACTGAGGCAGGTGATGGCAGAATATGTATTTTTTTAATGCTGTAAGAATTCAAATGGATACTTCTAGGAAAGACCACTTCAACAGATAAGTTCAAAGGTCTATTCCAACCCTGACATCCTAGAAGTCTGACTCCCAGTTTCCATCTCTTCTTTCCTCTATGCTGTTGTCAAAGTAATGTTACTAAAGCAATAATGGTGACAGAAGGTAAGGCGAATCTGAGAAATCTAGAGAGTTATTCATGTTGAGAACATTAAGGAGATGAATATGATTCTAAAGTTTAAACCTGGGAGACTGGAATTGTGGTCTTGACTGACAACTAACATCTCCCTACTTAAGAGAGGGCCCAGTTCTTCTCCCTGCTCCATATCAGCTAGAGCATGACATATAACCTCTGTTTAGCCCCTTGGCCACTACTCTCTTAACTCTGAATCTTCTATGAGTAACACAAAGACACAGAGACAATTTCAGAATTATTCATAGCAACAGAAACAGTACGTATCCAACAGTGGTGGTTTTCAGATGGGCTTTGGTGGTGAGGAGTCCAATCTGAGTCCAATCAGTTATCTGAAAATGATTGCTAAGGATAATTACAAAATGACACAAGATGCTTAGGCCAACAGTTAGAACAAGCCCAAATATCACACGCTGTTTTGGTTTTTGTTTTGTTTTTCTTCAGCCTCCACCTGTACCACAGACCGTCTGGAGAAGTAGCACTGACAGATGCATCTTAATGCAAGATGCCAACTAGAACAAACAGCAGTGCAGCCCCATATACCAGTGCTTCCTCCAGCTGCTTTCTCTCTGCTACCCCATCATGCTTTCTGAGGACTGCACTGCTCCCAGAATTCCCTGCCATCCTTCCCATAGTGCCTCTACCCAAATACTCTCTATGGTTCCCTACCATCATTTACTTTTCATCACTCCTCATCTACATCACTACAAACCTTTTGTTTTCCCTCTGGCTGGCAGCTCTACTTTCTCTCTGCTACACTGGTAGACTGACAGACTTTGATGAGAATAAGGCCATTCAGCCTAATTCCAAGTGAACCAAGAAGCTCTTCTTGCCAGGCCAGGGGCTTCTCATCCTGAAGCCTCACACATCTAGAAAGGAAAAGTATTGGTCAGGAAACAAGCCAGTGCTGCCTCTCCTTTACCTCCTTATCTCTTCAGATGACCTCTTCTTCCTATGCTCTCCCTCTCTCAAGCCAGATTTGCCTTCAAGAGTTGGCCCCTTCCTTGTGTTTGTAAAGTTTCTTGTAGCTGGGCATGGTGGTACACATCTGTCATCCCAGCTACTTGGGAGGCTGAGGTAGGAGGATCACAAGTTTGAGGCCAGCCTGGGCAACTTAGTGAGACCTGTCTCAAATTTTTAGAAAAGAGCTGGGTAATGAACTATATATAATGGAGACAGGTTCCACTGAACTATATATAATGAACTATATATAATGGAGTTCCAGATATAATGCAATACTTGCCAAGAATGCACAAGTCTCTGGATTCAGTCCTTGTTACCGCAAGGAAAAAAAATGAGTGTGTATGTGTGTGTGTACATACCTACCTCATTTAAGCCTAAGGTGAATATATTATTATCTCTATTTTACAGAGGAATACACTCTAGATCTTATAATATTTGGACCAAGGGAGTATAAGGATTTATATTTTGTAATTATCAGTAAGGATTTAAAATACCCTAACCATATAATAGCCATTAAGCATAATGTTGTTCTTCCTTTCTTTTTTCATCAGCAATGTGCTAGAAATTAAATGCACTAGTAGTTTACAGGGACCTGTAATGATGAAATGAGTTTAATTCATCAAACATTTACAAAGAAACTGCCTGGTGTTAGAGTGACTGAGGTGTAGGTTCTGCCTTCATAGAGCTTATTACTGTTCATACAGGAAATAGTAAATTTGTATGAGGTATTTATAGGTGAGTGGAGGAAAAATAAATGACTAGACAGGAACAAAAAATAATCTAACCATACTTCATCTGAGTCTATCGAGTTGAGATGTCAACTGAGAAAATACGGCACAGTGATGTTCATTCAACAAATATCTACCGAGCACCTGAGGTGATCAGCATAGGTGCTGAGCATTCAGCAGCAGACAAGGAAGGCAAGTTATAGCTACTGAGCCAATTTGGGTGGGGTCAGCTTTCCAGATGCTTAAATGATATCTCTTTAGTTACACCATTAATATTTCAAAGTACATTTCACAAACAAGCACGTT